TATCCCACCAGCATGGCAGAGCCCGGCAAGCTCCCCATGCCGTATTCAATATGCCAAAAACAGTAACAACAAGTCTCACAATGGAGACATTACTGGTGCCTGCTCGAGCAAATCGATGAACAATGGGAGGACAGTGCTACATGCTGAGAGATGGAATTTCTGTTGCAAATTAAAGTCAAAAGGCACCGAATGGGGGTTTGAGAGATATAGCAGATAAGGCGTACGCCTTGCAAGAACCTGATTGAAGTTGGATCCCCAGCATCCCATGTGGTCCTGGAGCTCTGCCAGAAGTGATTCCTGAGTGCAGAGCCAGGAATAACCCCATCTCTGTGTGTGATTACACCCCCCCCCCATAAAAACCTCAAAAAAAGTCATAGAGATAATACAGAGGGTCAGGCATTTGCTTTGTATGCAGTCGACCTGGGTCTGATTTCCAGGGCCACATAGGGTCCCCCAAGCACCACCAGGAATGATCCCTGAGCACAGAACCAGAGCCAGAGCCAGGAATAAGCCCTTAACAGTGGGGGCTGGAGAGATTGCACAGTGGGTAGGGTATTTGCCTTGCATGCGGCCGACCTGGGTTCGATTCCCAGCATCCCATATGGTCCCCTGAGCACCGCCAGGAGTAACTCCTGAGTGCATAGCCAGGAGTAACCCCTGTGCGTCGCCAGGTGTGACCCAAAAAGCAAAAAACAACAACAACAACCCCCCCCCAAAAAAAACCAAGAAAAAAATAAGCCCTGAACACTGCAAAGTGTGGCCCTAAAAAAGAAAAAATAGAAATAAAAAAGGCATCAAAAATCCATATCAAGAGAGGGGTTCGGCAGGGTGATACCATTTCACCAAAACTCTTCAGTGCCACCCTCGAGAACATCATGCGACGACTGGAATGGGAAAGCATGGGAGTGAAGATAGATGGTCGGCAACTACACCACCTCCGCTTTGCTGATGACATTGTTCTAATAACACCAAACATCAGCCAAGCGGCACAAATGCTGAACGACTTTAACCGTGAATGTGGAAAGGTCAGACTACAGCTGAATCTTACGAAGACAATGTTTATGAGAAACAGCCTTGTTCCTGACGCTCCATTCGCTCTCAACAGAACCACCATCTCCGAATGCAACAGTTATATATACCTAGGTCGAGAAATCAACATGATGAATGACCTGGCACCTGAGTTGCACAGGAGGAAGAGAGCGGCTTGGAATGCCTTCAAGAACGTTGAAGAAATAACTAAAAGGACAAAGAACCTCCAGCTATGAGCACACCTCTTTGATTCCACTGTTCTTCCTGCATTAACATATGCCTCAGAGACCTGGACCCTACGAAAACAGGATGAGAACGCTATTCGGGTCTCTCAAAGAGGAATCGAAAGAGTTATGCTTGGAATATCACGATTCACTCAAATGAGAGATAGAATCCGGAGTTCTGATCTTCGTCAACGCTCAAGAATTAGGGACGCTGTCTCATTTGCCAAGACATCAAAAATCAGATGGGCTGGACACGTAATGAGGTTTACAGACAACCACTGGACTAGAGTCATTACTGATTGGATTCCATGGGACATCAAAAGATCACGTAGACACCCACCTACAAGATGGTCAGACTTCTTCGTCAAGACCCTGAATGATCGGTTTGAGGCTCTGCATGTTCCTAGAACGAACAGATACCATTGGGCTACGCTAGCACGCAACCAGGATGAATGGAGACGTTACTAGCACCCGCTCGAGTAAATCGATGAATAATGGGGATTACGTGATTAAGTGATTAAGTGATCAAATGGTACAATTTACGAGACATGTTTTTGTCATATTAGCTAGAGAAGTTTATTTGAAAATAGAAACAGACCTATATGAAGTAAGAAATAGTCATATTTTTAAACCCAGAGAAACAGCCTTTGGCCCTTAGTCTTTGGAAGGGACTTAAAGAGGTGTCCAGACCAGGAGGAGCGTGGGGAGCCATGCTGCCCCCACCCTGCCTGAGCCCTCATGAACTTGAGCACTACATTGGCAGAGAAAGCTGCCCAAGACAGAAGCCAGGGCCTGGACACAGCACAGCAGGTGATCCAGGCTGGATTCCTGGCACCACCTGGCCCAGCCCGAGCTTGGCTGGCTGCAGTCTGAGTCCCCCTGGGTCCCTCCAGGTCCTGGAATCTCCCAGCATTGCCCTCACTGTGGGGCTGAGCAGTGTGACACCATCGTACCCTCCCATCCTTTTTTTTTTTTATAATTTTATTTATTGAATCACTGCGAGAGCAGTTACAAAGCTTTCGGGTTTAAGTCTCGCTCATACAATGAAACACCCGTCCCTTCACTAGTGCCTATTCTCCACTACCAAAAAAACCAGTATACCCCCATTTCACACCCTCCCCCTACCTGTGGGGCAGATGATTTCCACATTACTCTCTCTCTACTTTGATTACATTCAATATTTTGACACCAGACCCACCATTATTATTTGGGATTTTACCCCAACACTCAGATCTTCCAAAAAGGCACCAGTAGACAATTTGTTTTCTATTGCTGGTTATGAATAACATATGATGTCGCATGGCTGCAGTAGTGGCCGCGTGATTTTGAAATTCCGAAATTTTAACACTTAAATCTGGAGGGATTTCTGCCAAAACCTGCTGGGTTCCGAGATTTGTTCCTGTGTCTCTGGGATCATGGCCATTAAGCAACTTGATCAGGAGTCAGAAAGGCTGTTCATGGGTGACGACTTGCCTCCCATCCTTTTTAGTTTTTTTTTTTCCTTTTTGTGCGGGAGGCCCGCAAAACCACTCTCCGGTCTGCAGAGGTGGTCCTAGGATCCGTAGGTGCAAGGAGGGACCAACCGAATGAACACAAGACACAAGAGACAGAATGCAGTTCAGAAACAGAGAGAAAAAGGGACAGACTTTATTGGGGGAAATCAGGGTATATATCCATTAGTAAGGCAGCTACACAAAAGGTCATGTCCATATATGGTTAGGAAGGTTTGTTTTCACATATCACACATAAAGTTTATGCGTATCTTGTACCAGACACGAAGTAGTTACACAAAGGGCCATGTCCATATGATTTACCAGACACGATGTAGTTACACAAAGGGCCATGTCCATGTGATTTACAAAGTTTATATGTATCACGTACCAGACACGAGATAGTTACTTCTTGTTATTACTGACAGCCATGACAGATGTTCTCTCAGGATAACCATACATCAAGATAACCATACATAGCACTGGCTTTGCCTGCCGTGGTGTCACGTAGGTCAAGACGACCATACATAGCATAGGCTGTGCCTGCCTCGGGGTCGTAGGTCAAGATGACCATACCCTAGCACAGGCACGTAGGCCCTTGGTCAGTTAAAGGGTTAGCTTCCCACATTTTTGGGTCACACCCAGTGATGCTCAGGGGTTACTCCTAGCTCTGCTCTCAGGAATTACTCCTGGAGGTGCTTGGAGGACCAGATGGGATGCTGAGGATCGAACCTGGGTTGGCCGTGTGCAAGGCAAATGCCCTACCCGCTGTGCTATCGCTCCAGCCACCCCCACTTTTTCCCCCCTCACACCTCCTATCCTTGCCTGAGAATTGCTGGTGGGGCCCCGAGGGTTTCCTGAGCACATTAGGAGATCCCCTAACACCCCCTCCCACCCCAAACTAACAAAATAGAACACAACAAAGTAAAAGTCTCTGAGGCTGATTCCCACGGCAAGCTCCCAGGGCGGGATTCTCGCCATGTCCTGTGGACTGTGGAGGGAGAAAGGAGGGAGGAAGGGTGCCGGGTGCTCGGGAGAGACCCAGGGCCCAGGTCTTACTCGTGGAGGCTTTCTCAGATGTAGGATAACATTGGTTTGTCCTTTCTCCCTTCTACAGGGAGCTTAGGTTTATCGGGTCACACCCATCACAGTGCTCCCACGTCACTCCCACTCCTCTGTGCTTATCTGGAACTTCTCTGTGCTCTCTTCCCCAACCGGCCTAACACCTTTCCCCCTCATCAGACTCTGTTAACCTTTAAGGTCAGATCCTTCTAAGGACACTGAACTTGTATTATAAGTAAAATATTTCCTTTCTCCTCTCCTTATGTCTTTTGAATAGTTTACTTTAAAGCAATGTCCTTTTTGTACGGTCAAAGGAAGACAGTTCATGCAATGCTTTTGTAACTTGGGAGTTAAATCGACTCCAAATAATATTCACTCCTGGGCATCTGCTTTCTCAACTTAAGCCTCAGTCACCCTTTTTTCCTAGCACCCCAAAAGCAGGGTCCTGACGAGGGACTGGATGAACACAGGGCAAGCTGTGAGCCACCCTGGCATCGAAATGGGCCAGGCCAAAGTGCCACGATACTTAACTGTAAGTTGAGAGCATGGTCATGGACAAATGCAGTCATGATCCAAAAGTAATGACGAGATTAGGACCCTGCTAGGGATAGGGAAGACTAATCTGGCCTGAGCACTGTAGTCTGAGAGCGAGATGACCCCAGGAGAGAAATCCTATAAGCTTAACGTATCTCTTACTGTGTCCCGTACAAAATGATTAATATTATGAATGTTTATATGTTTGTTGGACAAGGAGAGAAGAAACACACCCATGGGATTCACTCTTGGGTGGGTCGTCCTACTGAATGAGTATTTGTCCTATTAGAAGCTTCCCCTGAGGGAAGGACTTTACCCCTATTGATTGTGACCACACCTATGTGTAAGCCCCAACACCTCATGCCATCACCATCTGCCTCCCTGGGGTGGGGGAAGCGGCATGAGACTACCAAACGCAGGTAGCAGAGAGAGAGCTGTCGCACCAAGGCCCCTTCATAATTTTATTTAGTAAATACACACCCGGTCTACAGGGATTGCTGAGAGGAGAGAGGGGGTCACACAGCTCTTTGGGGGTGGCTGTGGACGTCTCTCTCTTCTCTCCCTCTCCCCCCGCTGCGGCCGTGGTGCCCCCAGCTTCCAGGAGGAAGGACCCCTGGGGCTAGAGCACTGGGCAGGGTCAGTGCGGTGGGGCTGGTGTCCATCAGGAGACTGAGGTGTCCCCATTCTGGGCGCAGCGCGGGCAGTGACAGGCATGCTTCTTGTAATTCACGGAGCAGGCGTGACACACCAGGCCTCCACACAGCCTGGGGATCACACGGGTGTTAGGACCTGGGGTGCTTCCCCACCAACCCTCTCCTCTCATCTCAGCCCCAAGACCTTGGTCTGAAAGGGGCCCCCGGGGCCCTCTGCTTCCATGTCTGTCTCTCATGCCATGGCCACCACTCTGGTTAGATGCTCCATGCTTCCATGCTTCCTTTATATTTAATCTATGAATTTTATATATTTTTGGACCCGCACGGCAAAGCATGGCAAGCTCCCTGTGATGTATTCGGTATGCCAAACACAGTAACAAGTCTCACAATGGAGACATTACTGGGCCCGCTGGAGCAAATCAGTGAACAATGGGAGAACAGGAACAGTGACAGTGATACAGTGTCAAAGATAAAATCGGAATTGACTGTATGCAAGGTCTTAATTCCTGAGCTATCTCTCTGCCCCCACCCTGGAGAGTTTCTGGAAGCTTCCATGCAATGACTGCCCTTAAGTTCTCTGGTTCCAAATGGTAATTTCTCCCTAAGGCTCTCTTTCCCTGTTCTGGTGCTTTTTTTGTGCCCTAGAAAGTTGAGGGGAGCAGCTTCCTGCCTATTTGGGAATCTGTAACCCCTACCTCCCACTCCCCAGACTATTCTAGAAATTTCCATCACCGAGCCCATCTTCCAGGGTGCTGCTCCTGCCCTCTGCTCTCCTCATCTCTGTGGAGGTGAGCAGCAGATATTTGAGACCCCATGGTGGAGACTAACACTCTTTAGAACCTCTCACCACCCCAGCCCCGGGGTCTTCGCCCTGTCTCCCTCAACCCTAAAACGTTCACCTGGTCTGAGGGTTGAATGTTGAGCCAGGGAGAGAGAAAACAAGGGAACATTCCTGGGTTTCTTCACACTCAAGAACTCCTCTCCCGCTGGCCGAAGGGTCAGGAGCAGCCTCTGTGGAACCCCTCAAGGGCCCCCACAGGCCCTGGGGAGGGAGGGTTGTCCCAGCAGGTCACAGGAAACAGGCATCACCCTCTAAGAGGAGCCATTGACTCAGACAGAACTCCCTGCTCAGCCCAGACCTCAAAATTGCTTGTTTTCCTTGGGGGACAGGGGAGCATCCCTGGTGGTGCTTGGGGGAGCCCTACTTGGGCTGGATCCAAGCTCAGCCACATGCAAAGTCAACTCCTTTCCCTTGTATTATCTCTCCAGCCTGCAATCTCCAACCTTCTAACTTCCCAACCAGCCCTATGTAACCCCGTATCAGAGTCATTGGCCTTTGAGTGCGCGGGTTCCGGAACATCAGCTCAGCCCAAGGGAGGGATAGGCCCTAAGGGATCTTTGGCCTTGTGCCCAAGTCCCACCATTCTCAGGAAGGAGGGAAGCCCTGTTACCTGCAGGGGTAGCGCCGGGACAGCCGGCCGAAGACCTTGCTGCAGCCCACACAGCGGCCGGGGGTGATGGGGGTGAGCTGCTGGGCCTTCTGCCACTGTGAGTCCTTCTCTCTGGCGGGGCAGAGGGACATGCACGGAGGAGTCAGGAGAGAGAGGAACAGTGAGGGGGAGGACCCAGGGAGAGGCAAGCAGGGACAGGGACACAGGCAGAGAGGGACGGACAGGTGGACAGACCAACAGAGAAAGGGACACGGGGCCCGAGCGAGGGACAGGGAGACACATGTGTGTACAGTCACACACATGGAAGGTGGGAAGTCAGAGGGGACTTCAGGTCCTCATTGTCCCTTATTTATCAACCTCTGTCAAACCAGAGTGGAACAGTGCTCAGGGAGCACGCTCAGAAAAGGGTTGGATCCCTGCTACCACATAGTCCCCTGAGCACTGCCAGGCACAGAGCTGGAGGTGCCCGGGCACTGGGGGTGGGTAGGGGCGGGTCCCCCAGCACAGCAGGGCCTGAACGCTTCGCATCCTTGGTCTCTGGCATTGAATTGCTGACTTAGTTGACCAAGAAGGAAGTTGGAAGGACTTGATTCCTGGCATCCTACCTGGTCCCCTGAGCCCTGCCAGAAGTGATCCCTGAGCACAGAGCCAGGAGTCATCCCTGAGCATCACTAGGTGTGGCCCCAAACCCCAAAATAAATACACTGTCCTCCCGTTGTTCGTTGATTTGCTCGAGCAGGCCCAGTAACGTCTCCATTTTGAGACTTGTTGTTACTGTGTTTGGCATATCGAATAAAACTTAAAAATAAAACGTTTAGGGGCCAGAGTGATAGTACAGCGGGTAGGGTGTTTGCCTCGCACGCGGCCGACCTGGGTTCGATCCCCGGCATCCCATATGGTCCCCCAAGCACCATCAGAAGAAATTCCTGAGTGCAGAGCCAGGAGTAACCCCTGAGCATCACTGAATGTGACCCCAAAAGCAAAACAACAACAACAAAACACAACAACAAAACAACAACAACAAAACTTAAAAAAAAAATGTACCCATATTCTGCCCAGATCTTCACTGGAGTGGATATTCTACTGATTCTTCTCCTCAAGACATCCCCCAGACCCTCTGGACTTCTCCAGCCCAGACCACCTGTTTCTCAGAGGGCAGCCCCCGCAGTAACTCGACTCCTTCCCTGCTCAGACAACTCTTTCCCCAATCCCACATCATCTTTCTTGGCTTGCTTCCTGGAACATGTCCTTTATCGGCTTCCTAGAAGGGGCCCCTGGGAGGAAATGCCCTTGAGACTGTCTTTCCTGCGTCTTCTCCATGCACGTTTCATCACTTGTCAGATGATGAAGGGCACCAGGCAGCTTTTCTCAGAACCTGGACATGTTACACCACCGTAATGCTTATCTTTGTTTTGGGGCCACATCGGGTTGGCGTTGGGGGGAGTGGGTGTTGGTGGTGTGCTCTAAGGGCCATTCCTGCCTCTGGCTCTGTGCTCGGGCATGGCCCCTGATGGTGCTCTGGGGGACTAGATGTGAAGTGGGAGATCCAAAATGGGGTTAGCAGCACGCAAGGTGGGCACACAGGGCTAGTACCTTAGCTTCTCTGCTATCTCTCCAACCCTACACCCAGATTCTTAGGTCTTGCCTCCTGCTCCTTTTATTATTTATTTGTTTGTTTAGGCTTTTTGGGTCACACCTGGTGATGCTCAGGGGTTACTCCTGGTTCTGCACTCAGGAATCACTCCTGGCCAGTGCTCAGGGGACCATGTGGGATGCCGGGGATTGAACCCAGGTTGGCCATGTGCAAGGCAAATGCCCTACCCGCTGTACTATCACTGTGATCTCTCCTGCTTCTTTTATAAGTGACCAATATTTTTGGATAATCTGCTTATACTTTTTATTTTTGCTCTGGACCACGTCCAGCATTGCTTGGGGGCTACTGCCAGCTCCATGCTCTGGGTTTGTCCCTGGAAATGGTTGGGGGACCATGTGGTGCTGGGGCTTCCACCCCGACTTCCCACATGCAGACCATGATAATTTGCTTATTGCTGGTTTTGTGAAATGTTGTAATGAAGTATCTGCAATGAAATGTCTATGTTTTTTTTTTTTTTGAAGCGTTCGCTCATGACATCCTTGAATCTGAAGGTCTATCTACCAGAGTTAGGAAGTCATATTTTTTGTCTCATAATCTTCATTTCATTCTCTTATTAAGAAAACTTTTATTTATTTGTTGGCAGGGGGCGTAAGTTGTGATGCTCAGGGCATCTCTGTGCCCAGTGATCTCTCCTGGTAGACTATATGTGGTGCTTAGGACTGGACCTGGGGTGGTCACATGCAAGGCAAGTACCCTATTCACTGTACTCAGGCCCCAAGAAAAAGAAAAAAAAATTTTTTGGAACCTCAAGTAATTATAGAAAATCAGAACTCTTAAATTTCATTTTTTGTTTGGGTTCCACACCTGATGGTGCTCAGGGCTTACTCCTGACTGGCTCAGGAAATTATATGCCAGGGAAAAAACTTGGGCCGGACATGTGCGTGGCAAGTACTCTCTCTGCTGTACTATCACTTGGTATTATTATTATTATTATTATTATTATTTTGCTGGGGGAGGCTCCTGATCTACCCTCAGGGGGCTTGGGGACCACTCCTGCAAATGTTCAGTCAACAGGGCCAGATGGTTCCAAATTTGGGCCAGGGAAGGCAATGGATTCAGGCCCAGCTGTGGGGTGAGGGTGGAACCACTGGGGTCACGCCCCATGTGCTTTGTGGCTACAAGGGGCTGGAGACTGAATTTAGGGCTGCATACCCTGGATTGATATCTGTGTGTATGTTTCTGGGCATCAAACCCAGTGGCTCACACAAGCAAGCATTGTACCCCTGAACTAGATCCCCAGCTCCTGATCTGATTCTTTTTTTGTGGGGTGGGGTGTTGGGCCACACCTGGAAGTGTTCAAGACTTACTTCTGGTGGGCTGGAGCAATAGCACAGCGGGTAGGGCATTTGCCGCCTGGCACGCGGCCAACCCGGGTTCAATTCCCAGTATCCCATATGGTTCCCCGAGCACCGCCAGGGGTAATTCCTGAGTGCAGAGCCAGGAGTAACCCTTGTGCATCGCTGGGTGTGACCCAAAAAGAAAAAAGCAACTTACTCCTGGTTCTATCACTCCTTTGGTGCTCGTGAGACCATTTTGGGTGCCGGGGATGAAACCCAGGTCAGCTGTGTGCCAAGCAAGCACCTTGCCTGCCGAACTGTCTCACCAGCCCCTGGATTGATTCTTTTTGTCTAATTTCTCTCACATCTTCATCCCTTTGTATTCCCTATTCTAGTTTTTGAGTGGCTAGCCCATCTTTCTTTTTCAACTCTAGTGAATTATAACACGGCCCCAACTATCCTCTTCCTACCAATATTTTACATGAATTTCTTTTTTTTTTTTTTTTCCTTTTTGGGGGCTGGAGTGATAGCACAGCGGTAGGGCGTTCGCCTTACAAGTGGCCAACATGGCCGACCCGAGTTCGATTCCTCCGCCCCTCTCGGAGAGCCCGGCAAGCTACCGAGAGTATTCGATATGCCAAACACAGTAACAACAAAGTCTCCAATGGAGACGTTACTGGGCCCGCTCGAGCAAATCGACGATCAACGGGAGGGCCTTTACCTTTACCTTTACCTTTGGGTCACACCCAGCGATGCTCAGGGGTTACTCCTGGCTCTGCACTCAGGAATTATTCCTGGTGGTGCTTGGGGGACCATATGGGATGCCGGGGATCGGACCTGGATCGGCCGCGTGCAAGGCAAACGCCCTACCTGCTGTGTTATCACTCTGGCCCTACATGAATTTCTCTATTGAGTTGCTAGGCAGGGAAGTCAGGACCTCCCACAATCGAGAAACCTGTGCTGAGCTGAGCTGAGCCACCCACCCCCTCGCCCAGACGCCACCTAGGAATCCTAGTTCTGATTTCCAAGTATGTTGTCTCCTCTTTGGAAGGTGGCTTTTCTTAGAACTGTGTTTCATGAGAAACAGATTTCTTGGTGGCTGGTGTTTGCTTATCTTAGTGTCTCTCCTCATGCTGTAGACTCTCCTCAAACACGGAGGGATCCTTGCTTCCTCTTTTGTGTTTAAGAAAGGGGGGTCATAAGGATGGTAGAGATAAGGGCCAGGAGGGTCATCCCCATGACTTGGAAGCCAATCTCATGTGCTGGGGGGAAAGGCAGATGGCGGGCTGGAGCAATAGCACAACAGGTAGGGCGTTTGCCTTGCACGTAGCCGACCCAGGTTGGATTCCCAGCATCCCATATGGTCCCCTGAACACCGCCAGAGTGATTCCCGAGTGCAGAGCCAGGAGTTACCCTTGCGCATCGCTGGGTGTGACTCAAAAAGGAAAAAACAAACAAACAATAAAAAAAGGCAGGTGGGAAGGAGAAGTGCCAGCATATTCCTCTGAATGGACAGCCACATTTAGGCAACTTTATGTATTTCTTTTCTTTTTTCTTATTTTTGGTTTTCTGTTTTCTTATTCTTTTGGGGGGTGGGGGTGGTGGGCTACACATGGTTGTGACCAGGCTCCCTATGTGCTCAGGTAGGACTCCTGGCGGGCTCAGGGGACTATATGGGGTGCCAGGGATTGAACCCAGGCTGGCTGTGTGCAAGGCAAACATCCTCCCGGCTGTCCTGTCTTTGGGTCTGTATTTCCTTTTATGATCTTGTTGTCTAAATGCTCAGGATGGATTTTTTTTTTTCTTTTTGAGTCATACCCAGCAATGCTCAGGGGTTACTCCTGGCTCTGCACTCAGGAATTCCTCCTGGAGGTGCTCAGGCGACCATATGGGATGCTGGGAATCCAACCTGGGTTGGCCGCGTACAAGGCAAACACCCTACCCGCTGTGCTATCACTCCAGCCCAGGATGGGGTTTGGAGAGAGCTCAAGGGGCCAGAGTATGTTTCTTATGCAGGAGACCGGGGATCGATCCCTGGTCCCATGTGGGCCCTTACAGGCTCTGGGGAGAGCAACACTGCAATGGATTCTCTGGGGGGAGCCCCTGAGCACTGCTGGGTGTGAAGCAGCCCCCCTCCCTCCTCTCCTTGCTGTCAAAAAATACCCAGAACTACGGTGAACCCTACTCCTAAAATTTGGGGAGTATATATTTTCTTCTTTATTCAATCTTCTATTTTTATTTAACAATCATATATATGACCTTTACTATTTTATAAATGCCTTATATGCAAGATACATATTTTCACTGTCATATAAGTACATATAGGCGACCTATATATAGTACATATTGCTATTTTCCAAGCTACCCTAAATATCCTGTGTGAGAGCTGTAGTTGTTTTGGGCGTTTCCCTTCCTCCCAGTTGGCAGTTCCTTAGAGAAAACTATTTCTTAAATTCTTTGTTCTGTCCAAATTGATTCCTCCTTTTTCTCATTTTTAATATGATATGGATTTTCTGAGGATTATTCCTAGGTGACCACTAGCAATCCTTCCTTCCTTCCTTCCTTCCTTCCTTCCTTCCTTCCTTCCTTCCTTCCTCTCCCTCCCTCTATTCCTCCCTCCCTCCCTCTCCCTCTCTCCTCTCCCTCTTTTTTCCCCTCTCCCTCTCTCTCTCCCCTTCTCCTTCTCTCTCTCTTTCTCTCTCCACACCCTCCTTCTCTCTTCCTCCTCCCCACCCCAGGTATTGAGGCCTTACTCCTGACTTTGTACTCAGGAGTCACTCCTGGTGGCACGCACTTGTGGGACCATAGATGATACTAGGAATCAAGCTGGGATCTGCCACATGCAAGTTAAGTATCTCAGTCTCCTCTTTCTTCTTCCTGTTCCTTCTCATTCCCTTCTCCTAACCTCAGCCAGGGAACACGATTAATGTCCTTGGTATTAAGTCGGTCTCTCTGGCCTAATTCGCTTCATCTGTTAAATGGGATAACAAGGGTGACTAAAAGAAAGAAAGGAGTTGGGGCTGGAGAGATTGCACAGTGGGGAGGGTGCTTGCCTCACATGTGCCTGACCCGGGTTCGATCCCCCGCATCTCATAGGGTCTCCTGAGCACTGCAGGAGTAATTCCTGAGCTCAGAGTCAGGAGTGACCCTTGAGCATCAGTGGGTGTGACCCCACTCCCACCCCAAACAAATAAATAAATAAAAGGGAAGAAGTTACTGCATTTGCAAGTCCAAGCATGCTGGGAGTGCTGAGCAGAGTAGAAGTCCCTTCCCAGTCTCTCATCCAGTCCCAGCGCCCCTGCCGCCAGCCAGCCACTGTCCCCGTCCTTACTGAATCAGCTCCAGGACCCGCCTCTTCATGGCGAGCACCAGGTCCCGCTGTCGGCCCAGCTCCTCCTCGGACATGGCGACCCTCCTCTCGGCCTCCAGGCGCACCTGCCCCAGCTGGGCTTGCAGCTGGGCCTTCTCCTCCCGGCACCTGCATAGAAGGGTGCCTGGAGGGGCCGACACACAGCCGGGGACGGGGCAGCATTGGGGTGCTTCGGTGCTGCCTCTTGTCACCAAAGGATATGCATCCACACACACACTCTACTCACCCACACACCTACACCCCACACACCCACATACATTACACACCCCACACCCCTGCCACCTCCACACTCACACCACCACACACACACACAAACACATACCCCTGCATCTCACACTCACAATGCACGCCACCTCCACGCTCACACCACCACACAGACCCACATACCCCACACTTGCACTACACCAACACCTAATCTACACCTGCACACCACACAGTCACAATACAAATCACCCCACACTCACACGCCACCCTGTAACTGTCACTGTCACCGTCCTCCAGTTGTTCATTGATTTCCTTGAGTGGGCCCAGTAACGTCTCCATTTTGGGACTTGTTGTTACTGTGCTTGGCAAAACCAATACATCATGGGTAGCTTGCCAGGCTTTGCCGTGCAGACGAAATACTCTCGGTAGCTTGCCGGGCTCTCTGAGAGAGGTGGAGGAATAAAACCCGGCTCTACCGGGTTGGCTGCACGCAAGGCAAACACCCTACCACTGTGCTATCGCTCCAGCCCACATCCCACCCTACACCCCTTAAACTACACCCACATAGCATACTTATAGTGCATGCCAGTCACAGCACACTCTACACTCATAATACCTCCTCAAAACACATCCCACCCACCCCACACCTCACACACACAACCCACTCACACCACATCACACACATACTACACGCAGTTACATACCACGCCCCCCCTCCATACTATACTACGTTCCAAAGAGCACCGTGTATAGCCTGATGCCTCCACACTGATTCTCACTGAGTTCAGAGGTGTGAAAACAGACCCTCGCAGAGCGGGTGAGGCCCGGTTTCCATTACACCCACCCACACGCTCACTCACAGTTTTGCTTTCTAAGCATCACTTTGTTGTGAGGCACTTTCCCCATCCAGCACCAGGGGCAGGGGGGGTAGGGGAAGGGGCCAGGGCAGGGAAGGGGAGGAGCGGGGTCAGCAAATGATCATGCTTGGAGAGAAGAAGGTAAGAGTTTCAGTCTTGGGGTGATTAAGGGTGAGGGGGCCTTTAAAATATTTTGAAAACTGGGGACTGGAGCGATAGTACAGCATGTAGGGTGTTTGCCTTGCATGCGGCCAACCTGGGTTCAATTCCCAGCATCCCATATGGTCCTCTGAGCACTGCCAGGAGTAATTCCTGAGTGCAGAGCCAGGAGTAACTTCTGAGCATCGTTGGGTGTGACCCAAAAAGCACTGTAGCCCTGTAGCACTGTCCTCCCGTTGTTTATAGATTTGCTCGAGCAGGCACCAGTAACGTCTCTCAACAAATTGTGAGACTTGTTGTTACTGTTTTTGGCATATTGAATACGTCGTGGGGAGCTTGCTAGGCTTTGCTGTGTGGGCAAGATGGCCAACCCAGGTTCAATTCCTCCACCCCTCTTGGAAAGCCCGGCAAGCTACCCAAAAAGAAAAAAAAAAAAAAGGAAAATTTATTTTCCATTGTCTTTTCCATGAGAACAATGATATTAAAAAGTATGATGATATAAAATGTCTATTTGGGGCCTGGAACCTGCTTACCTCTTGCCTTTTCTTGGAGCGGGTGTGTGTGTATGTGTTTGTCTTGAGAGGGCTTCTAGAAGGTTCCAAGAAATGGACTAGAATCAAGAAGGAACAGCTCAGGGGGGGTGGCGCCTGGGTGTGGGTGTCCCCTGACCTTGGAGCGTGACCTTGCGGTTGGTGGCGCATGTTTGAGGGGAAGAGTCTGACAAAAGGATTCAGAACTTTGAAAGCGGCCACAGGGGAGGGGAGCTGGGTGGGCCGTGAAATCAAAGTGACAACAGAGAGCCACTGAAATTCCAGAGCGGCCAGTCCCTGCGGTGGCCTGCAGACAGAGCCCTCCTTGTGCCGGGGCAGGGGGGAGGGGGGCGGGCCTGCTGGCATCTCCTACAAGCACGGGCTGCAGCCTCCTCCTCCCTTAGATGCTGCTCAGTGACCCCAGGGCCTCCGCATGGGACCACTCTGGACAGATGGGAGGGGATACTGACAAAGCATCCACACGCGTGTGTCCTGGCTATTTCCAGTGGAGAGAACACCTCCTCCGCCATGGACCCCGGGATGCTGCTGGTGTTTACAGATGGTCTGATTGATCCGGGGCTGGGCAGATAAACTAGTGAAGCTCATACTTACTCCACCCTTTTTTTTTTTACCGTCCCGATAAAAATACTGAATGCTCTGAACAAACACCATGACCTCTTAGCACCTGTATTGCAAAAACCATAATGCACAAAAGGAAAAGGAGAGAGAGAGGGAGAGAGAGAGAGAGAGAGAGAGAGAGAGAGAGAGAGAGAGAGAGAGAGAGAGAGAGAGAGAAGGAAAGTGCTTCTCACAGAGGGAGGCTGGGTAGGGGGTGTTGGGGGATCGTGGTGGGGAAATAAGGGGACATGGGTGATGGAAAATGTGCACTGGTGGAGGGATGGGTGCTGGGTCATTGTATGACTGAAACCCAATTATGAACAGCTTTGAAATGGTCTATCTCATGGATATCCAATTTTAAAAATTTTTTTTAAAAAGTAATGTGGAGTTCATGCCCAATTCAATCAGCTTAATCAATGGCTGAATAAATAGTTGTACTCCTATATTAAAAAAATAGTGAAGGGGCTGGAGCAATAGCACAGCGGGTAGGGCGTTTGTTTGTCTTGCACGCGGCCGACCTGGGTTCGATTTCCAACATCCCATATGGTCCCCTGAGCACTGCCAGGAGTAATTCCTGAGTGCATGAACCAGGAGTAACCCCTGTGCATTGCCGGGTGTGACCCAAAAAGCAAAAAAAATAAAATAAAATAAAAGTGAAGCTCAGTGCCTGGCAGGCCGACAGGCTCTGACCAAGACTCGAGAGAGGGGACAGTGTCTCATCCCTGGTGATGCCGAAGCTGAGCTGAAGAGAAAGACAAGCTAGCACTAGGCAGGGCCCCCGTGCCCAGGGATGCAGGTTGGAGAGAGCAGTTTGCTAGAGGATGGAGGGCAGCTTATATGCCGCTCAGGGGCCCAGGAGAAGTGGGCTTGAACTTCACCGTTATGTTGACAGTCCTGTTTTGTGTGTGTGTGGTGGGGGGTGCTTCTCAGGTTCAGTGGTCCGGGTGCCCTACCAGTGATTCTTGGGTCTGGGGATTCAGCACCAGGGCCGGAGGAGGAGGAGGGGCTCAGCCCCTGAAACATCTTGGGTACTTGGGCCATCTGGTGGTGCCAGGGGCCTCCTGCAGCTGGGATTGATCGATTAGTATTTTGGGGTTGTGGGGGGAAGAGCCTTGGGGCACACTCTGCTGTGCTCAGGGCTCAGCCCTGGCTCATGGCTCAGGAAACTAGTGCAGAACCGGCATCAGCTGCATGCAAGACAGGCACCCTCCGTGTTGTTCTTGCTGTACTGGACTCACCCGCCCCCTGCCCCCTGCGGTGCTCAGGGCACCCTGGAGTACTGGGAAGCGAATGATCTTGCTAGGCGCATGACTCAGATGCTGTGCTGTCTCCTGGCCCCAGTGAAGGATGCTAAGGATGCTAGCACAGGTCTTTTCTTTGTTGTTGGGCCACTCCTGGCGGTGCTGATTCCTGGCTCAGTGCTCTGGGATTACTCCTGGCTGTGCTCAGGGGACCATATGCAATGCTGGCGGGGACTTTGGGTCAGCCGCCTACAAGGCTAGTGCCCTCCCCACTGTGCTATCTGTCCCACGCCAACAGCGGTATTTCCAGCTGGCACTGCCCAAGGGGGCACACGGATGGATGGACCCAGTCTGAGTCCCCTGATGGTTGTCAGTTTGGTCTGGAGATTACTTCGCAGGACAGAGTACTTCAGAGAGGGGGCTACACTCTGGTCTCACGGCTGGGTCTGGCACAGCAGGCCCTGCTCTAAACACTCTGGCCACCCCACCTTCCTTCCCACTGACCCCTGGCCCAGAGTGATTTTGAGTGTAGGGAGCGCGGGTGGGTGGCCCCTGGTCAGTTTCAAGGGAACTCAATGCTGCCACCTTCTGGCCGGTGTGAGAAGGGAGATTTGCCTGATTTGGGGTGGGGTGGGGCTGGGGGTGGTTCTTCCTCTCCTCCCATCCCCACCTTTGCTCTTTGCTCCAACGCAGATGACACAGAAGATGTCTGTGCTCAGAAAGAGAGTCTCATGGAGCACGTGGGCTGGCCAGGACTGAGCCAGCTGAGCCTGAAAGAGGGAAGGTGGGCTGGATTCCCTAAGCCCCAGAAGGACAAGGGTAGAAAGTGGGTACTGAGTGGCTCCCTACTTCGGCTTCAAGACTGCTGGGTTCAGTTAGCGTGTGTGTGTGTGTGTGTGTGTGTGTGTGTGTGTGTGTGTGTGTGTGTGTATGGGAGGAGGCATGGGCCACACCCAGCTGTGCTCAGTACTCAGCCCTGGCTCAGGCTCTGGAAACTAGTGATACAGTGTAGAAACTGGATCAGCTGTGTGCAGGGCAAGCCGCTCAAGCGTGCCTTTAGCCTCCTGCACCCTCTCCTTGCACGCTGACTCCCCTCTTCCAGATCTTGGTCTTGCAGGATCCCCTGTCTGGGACACTCCTCTCCAGACCCTTGCACGTGCCAGTCTTAGATGTTTTTGGGAGCGAGCCACCCACGTAGATGTTTAGGGGCCCCTCCTGGCTCTGTGCTCTAGGGCTGCTCCAGGCAGTGCTGGGGGGGGGGGGGGAACAACGTGGTTTGGGGGATGAGCTCCAGCTCCGCCCACTCCACATGGCTGTGCTCAGGGCTGACTCCTGGCTCTGTGCTCAGGGTCCCTCCTGGTGGGGCCTGGGGGACCATATGTGGTGCCGCAGGGCATGGAACTGGTTTGGCTACAAGCAAGGTGAGCCTGGTGGCCTTGCAAGGTGACCTTGCCTGGTGGCTGCACTACCTCTCTTGTGCCCCGCCCGATTCTTTGGCCATCCATGGTCCTGACCAGCTGTGTAAAGCCTGAGGGGGAGGGGGCTTAGATCTCCCAGGACTGGGATTTCCACCCAGCTCTTGAGTCTCTGGAGAGGCAGCCCTTGACTTTGCATTTAGATGATTCTCACCTGACATTGTTTGTGGGGTCCCCCAGGTTCGAAATAGCTATCACAGCTGTTCCTTTTTTTTTTTTTTGGCGTCACACCCAGCGATGTTTAGGGGTCACTCCTGGCTCTGCACTCAGGAATTACCCCTGGCAATGCTTGGGGGACCATATGGGATGCCGGGGATCGAACCCGGGTCGGCCGCATGCAAGGCGCAAACGCCCTACTCACTGTGCTATCACTCCGGCCCCACAGCTGTTCCTTTGGAGGTAGTTCCATTTCCATAGGCTGCCGGCCAGGAGGGAACCATCTCCTGCCCAGCGGGAGGGATGTCCTGACAGGTGGGAAATGCACTCCCTCCTACCCCAGAGACTCCCCCTAGAGACTCCCAGCTCTCTCTTCCCAACTCTGCCTTCAACTCCCCAGTCTGTGGCTCCCCCTGGTGTCCAGCAAGAGCCTAGCCCCTTATGAAGTGGGCTCAGCCCTGCACCCCCTGAACTCCCCGCAGACACTTGAGGGGGCATTCTGCATGCTCAGAGCGGAGAGTGTCATCCTTGCCTTCTATCTGTCTTGGAGACCTCATCGCCAATCCTTCGGGGATTCCCTGCCAGCTTCTCCAGGACCCAGCCCCTTCTCCTCCCCCTCTGTGGTCACCCTGGCACTCTTCCATCTCCCCACTTCCTCCCCGGCTCCCCCAGACTAGTGGGTGTTGGAGCCTTGGCCCATGGCCATGACTCAGTGTTGGGCAAACCTCCAGGACAAAGACTGCCGGCTGCCTGGGGCCGGTGGGGTAGGCAGGGGCATGACGCGGAGTGTGGGCTCTTCCTGAAGCTGACAGTGTTTGAAAATGGATGGCAGGTGTGGTTGGGGGGCCCAACCCTGGCTATATACGGAAAATCAGAGTTGTTTTTAAAAAAGGTATGTGTGTATGGGGGGTGCTCGGGGGGCGTGCTTGCCTTACACATTGCTGACCTGGGTTCATCTCATAGGGTCCCCGAACCCTGCCAGGAATGATTCCTGAGTGCAGAGCAGAGAGTAAGTCCTGAGCATCGTCAAGTGGAATTACCTCTCCCCACACTCCCCCCAAAAGGTGAGGGGCTAGGACACTTGCTTTGTATGTGGCTGACCTGGGTTCGATTCCTGACACCCCTGAACCTCAATAGGAGTAAACCCTGAGGGCAGAACCAGGGAGTAAGCCCCGAGTACAGTGGGGTATACCCCCGCTACCCCAAGAAGCCCATATGTATATTTTTGACACTGAAACTCTCATGTCATGCCCCCCTTCTCTGCAGAGGGTCCTGTCTCAGTCTGAGTGAAAGCTGGGGTCCTCTGGGTGGCCTGAGAGGCTCTATAAGCTGTCTGTCCCAAGACCCCCCACCTCCCTTGTTCCTATACCTTCCCCCTCCTTCACTCCCTGGGGGCTTCATAAGCCTCCGAAAGTATGTCCAGGTACTCTGGACATGCCAAGTTCGCTACTGCCTCAGGGCCTTTGCACTTGCTGCTCCGTGCCAGAACATTCTTTCACCTGGTATCCAATGGTCACACCTGCTGGGGATCACAGCTGACTCTGTGCTCAGGAGATGTTGTGTTGGAGATGACGCCCAGATGTCTGCTGTGTGAGCTCAGTCTCTCTCTCTCTCTCTCTCTCTCTCTCTCTCTCTCTCTCTCTCTCCTCTTCTCTTCTCTCTCTCTCTCTCTCTCTCTCTCACCTTTCAGTTCTTGACGGAAGCCTTGCCTTTTCCCTTCCCTGGACACATTCTCTGGTCACCGGCACCTCCCTTCCCCCTCCCGACTTCCTGTTTCTGATAATCCCTCTGTTCCTTCCTGTGGGCAGCCTTAGTGCCTGTGTGGAGTGAGCCCCAGGGGGGCAGGGACGTGGGCCCTGGGTAGGAGGCTTGTCTGTGAGTATTTCCCTGCTCCCTGATCAGGTCTGCCCACGAGGGCAGCGACTGTTTGTGCAGTAACTAAAGGATGAATGACAAGAGGTCAGTGGGTCTGACTCTGGGACTACCCCAGACGCAAGGAACAGCCTGGGGCTACACAGTGTCCCTGGAACCACCCAGCTACACCCCATTTCCCGCCCACCCCCACCATCCCAGCCTGTCTTGTTTGTTTGCTCAGGAATCACTGCTGGTGGGTTAAGGGAGCTGCCGGGTCAAGCTCGGGTGGGCGACAGGCAATGAAATCGCCTCACCTGCTGAACTATTGTTCTGGACCTAGAATATCTCTTTTATTTGGGTGTGTGTGGGGGGGGGGTCCACCTGGTGATGCTCAGGGCTTACTCCGGGCTCTGCACTCAGGAATCACTTCTGGCAGTGCCCAAGGGACCCTATGGAACATCAGGGATTGAACCCAGGTCAGCCACGTTCAAGGCAATTACGCCTTACCTGTTGTTCTATCACATCTCTTTTAAAATTAATTTTGAGGTTTATTTCTTTTGAGGTTACACCTGACAGTGCTGGGGGGTATTCCTGGCTTGATGCTCCTGGTGGTACTCAGGGGATCATGCAGAGCTGGGGATAGAACCTGGGACTCCTGCATTCCAAGCCTGCACTGAGCCCATAGAAACACCTTTCGAGGTGCAACTCATTTTCATGGGGGGTTCGGGGGGCGGCACCTGGCATTGCTCCGGGCCAGGGCTGGGACTCGGGGTCTCGCCCCTGAAACCAGTGCAACATCTGTGAGCCCCAGTTTCCTCGTCTGAAAAATGGAGGTTTCTCTTGGCAGTGATGCCTGGATGAGCACGCAGGCAGAATGTGTGTGAGTCACACCACTGATGTGTGCACCTCACCCCAGCCCCAGTGTGAGCTTGTGTGTGAACACCATGGCCAGGGAGAACAGCCCTCAGCGAGCACTGCGGTCAAGTATGTGAGTAACGCTGTCTGTCGTGTGGTCCCACAGCCCAGCATGGGTGCAACCTCCGGATATGGCAGCAGTGATGAGCACGAGGGGAGGCAGGGAATTAAAAAACATGAGTGGGCTTTGGGGGCCAGAGAGATAGTACAGTGGGTAGAGCAAGTTTTCCTTTTACATGGCCAACCCAGGTTCGATCCCCGGCATCCCATATGGTCTCCCAGCACTGCCAGGAGTGATTCCTGAGTGCAGAGCCAGGAGTAACTCCTGAGCATCACCAGGGATGGCCCAAAAAGAGCAAAAAAAAAAAAGTGGGCTTCTTGGAGAACCCATCTCAGAAGGCTGAGGGAGTCCCTAGGGGTTGGCGATGCTCTGCGGATGCTTGTGCAGATCAAGAGGGGGCCAGAGAGATAGCACAGTGGGTAGGGCACTCACCTTGCATGCGGCAGACAAGATCCAATCCCCGGCACCCTGCAGGGTCCCCTGAGCCCTGCCACAAGTGATCTCTGAGCACAGAGCCAGGAGGAAGCCCTGAGCACCAGCAGGTGTGGTCCACCATCCCCTCAATTAAACAGGCAATTAAAGATGATCCCTGAGGAGTGGGGAAGTGAGAGCCAGAGAGGGGGAGTGGGGGAGCAGCGTGGGAGCTTGGAGGGGGGCTGCGATGAGACGGGGGCTCAGGAGAGGCAACAGCGGGGGCTGCAGGATGGCACCGTGGGGAGGACACTAGCCTTGCATGCAGCTGACCCAGGTGTGATCTTCTGCATCCCATCAGGTCCCCCTAGCACCCCCAAGAATGATCCCTGAGCTCAGAGGCAGGAGTCAGCCCTGAGCACCACCAGGTGTGGCCCCCAAACAAAATAAAATGATGAAACAAAATACGAAGAAGAGGCAGCAGAAAGGGGAAGGTGAATGGGGAGAAGGAGGAGGAAGAGGAGGAGGAAGAGGTGGGGGAGGAGGAGGAGGAGGAGGGGAAGGAAGAGGAGGATGAAGAAGAGGAGGAGGGGGAGCAGGAGGAGGAGGAGGAGGGGGAGGAGGGGGAGGAGGAAGAGGGAGCACGGAGGTGCTGGGCTCTCCGAGGGGCTCCCGGGGAAGTCCGGGGTCCGAGGAGCAGGACCATGGCTCTGCCTACCCCAGGGGTGCCCAGTGCAGCCTCTCGATGCACAGAAAGCTGACCTGGCAGGGCCTGATGAAGCCTGGGCACTGACCATCTCTCCTGCCCACTGGCAGGGACCGACTGAGCATCGGCCGCTGCCCGTCCCTCCCACCCCCCCCCCAACCTCCCCCCACTGGCGTGGCTGCAGTTACCTGCTGAGCTGCTCCTGCAGGGCCTTCAGCTGCTCCTCCCTCTCCTCTAGCAGCTGCTCCAGGGCTTGACCCGGGGTCCTGAGGTCCTGGGGCACAGAGAGGGGCAAGGAGAGCTCAGACCCCAGCCCAGGGACTGCCCCGGGAGCTGAGATCTGGCCTCAGCCAGGGTGAGCTGGGGGCCACCTTCATGGCAAGGGGCAGAGTGGCGGGGAGCACCTGGTCCTGGGGTGGCGTGTAGCTGGGGACGAGCCTGGAAGCAAACAGGGTCACTTCCGGGGGTCGGTCTACACCTGAGAACCTGTGGACACGTGATGGCGTGGCTGTGGGGGTCCCACACGCCTGGGGAATGTAACAAGAATACATCTCAGCTGTGCAGTGTCACCTGTTGGGACCCCTGCTCTTGTGGGGTCAAGGGTCACACCACTATCCAAGAGCTGAGAGTGGGTCCTGCCTCCAAAGTCCTGGAAGGAGGGGTTCGGTGTGGTAGTGACTGGCAAAGTGGGCCTGGTGGGCCCAGGGTCGGCTCACTAGTTAAAGCACCTGCCTTGTAAGAGTGAGAGCATGAGTTCAGCCCCCTGTGTCCCCACATACAATGCCAGCTCTGCTCTCGGGGGCCCCCAGTGCCACAGCAGTGTGATCTCTGGGGCCCAGCTTGGGGATAGGACACCACCGCCACCAAACGTGGCATCTGGGCAGCAAGCCTCTGGGCAGCAGCCCCCTGTGTCTCCGTCCGACCCTCTGAGCTGGGCAGAAGACTTGTGTGCCTGGCCCCTGTTCCTTGGGCCCCTGTTTCTGGCCTTTCACAGCCCAGGCGGGACGTAACCGGAAGGGCTGGAGAGCACATGTGAGGCCCTGAGTTTGCTCCCCACAGCTGCATGCCTCCACAGACATGGCCCCCAGGGTGCCCAGCACTGCCGGTTCCAAGCAGCACCTCCTGACATGACCTGAGTATTGAGCCATGGAGGCCCTCACCACTGAGACTGAGGGTTGCTGGGAGAGGCCTCCCTGCCTCTATTTCCCAAATATGGAAGACAAAGCTGTTTGAGCACTGTAGTCAGGAGTGTCCCTCCCTGCTGAGCAAGTGTGTCAGCCCCACAGTGGCTCCCAGGGAGCACCACTCAGCACCAGGAGTGTCTGAGTCACAATAGCTACAACAGCTACCAGGGGGAAGGGATGGTGCGAGGCAATAGGGGGTGGTGGGGAGTGGGGCTAACCACAGAAGGCGTGGCTCTCCCAAGGCCCCTCAGATCGCACAGCTAACCCCGTGGGGGTGGGGGTGGGGACAGGAGACACTGATCTGTGACCTAATGGTCCTGGGCTCAGGAGGCTGCTCTTGTGGCCAGTTAGGGTGAGGGGTGAGCAGAAGTGACCTCATCTTTCCTCACCTCCTGCTCAGCTGACCCTGCAGATGGCTCCTCCTTCCTCATCTCCTCTGCCACTCCTGCTGGCTCCTGTGGCTTCTCTTTGATGGAGTCTGCTCTTGTTTCCAGGCTTCGAAGGACCCGCAGTTCCCCTGGGCTGTTCCGTACGTCCCATGCTTGCCTGCCCCCGCCCGACATGGCATCCTCTCTGGTCCCTCTGGGGCTGGGGGCTGGCAGCGTCTGGGCAGCAGCCCCCTGTGTCTCCGTCCGACCCTCTGAGCTGGGCAGAAGACTTGTGTGCCTGGCCCCTGTTCCTTGGGCCCCTGTCAGTGTCCCCCGGCCTCCCGGGTCCAGCCCCAGGCAGCCGGGTGTTGAGTCGTCCTCCTGGCAGACTTCCTTCCGGGGGGACCCCTTCTCCGAGTCTTGCTGAAGCTGCTTCCTGTCTGCTTCCTGCGGGGCACCGAGGCTCCTGGGATCTTTGCTTCGCTTTGCCAAAGATGGGGGCAAGAGGCATGAGTTGTGGGGGGCTGGGGAATGCCACTGGGGGTGAAAGGAGTCGTCTCCAGGGGGCCTCTTACAGCCAGACCGCCTGACCAGCCCGTGATTCCTCTGGCTGGATGGACGCTTTTGGGAACCCCACATGCAACTGAGAGAGAGCGGCAGAGAAGCCCCCAAAGTCATCACTAGCCTGGTCTGATGGCAGGTTTGGGGGAGGGGGAGGGTGGAGGGGAAACAAAGGCCTCATTCAAGGAATCTGTTCATTGTGGGTGTTCCTGGATCAGTTCTGGGGTGGGGCGGGGCCCAGGAGCCTGCAGAGTGACCCCTGGATGCAGGTGACCCCAGGTTGGAGTTTTTTTCTGAGGAGGGGCTGTCTGGCTTCCCTGGGTCCCTGCCCCCCTCTCTCTTTCTCTCTGTCTCCCGTCTCCCGAGTCTATCAGGTCCACCTCCACTCCCACCCCCTTCTCCCTACCTCTCTCATCTCATCCTTGGCCTTGAACTGGACTCCTTGGCTTTTTGGTTTTCTCACCTGCAAAAAAGGGATGATGGGGGCTGGAGCAATAGCACAGCGGGTAGGGCGTTTGCCTTGCATGTGGCCAACCTGGGTTCGATTCCCAGCATCCCATATGGTTCCCCAAGGACTGCCAGGGGTAATTCCTGAGTGCAGAGCCAGGAGTAACCCCTGTGCACCGCCAGGTGTGACCCAAAAAGCAAAAAAAAAAAAAAAAAAAAAAAAAAAGGATGGGATGATAATACCTGTCTGGTAGGATTATGGGGGAAGGTGACTCAGAACAACAGGGAGTAAGGGTGTGAAGGCCTCAGCGTTCCTATCCAGGGCACGACTGTGTCATCATACTTAACAGCACAGCGGTCCCTTCCATCACCGGCTCTTTCCAGAGCTAGACCTTCTGCTCAGGAACCAAGTCCTCACACTCCCTGTTCCTGGGCCCAGAAAGTGGATGCCAGCGGCTGAAGCAATAGAACAGCGGGTAGGGTGTTTGCCTTGCACACGGCCGACCCAGGTTCGATTACCAGCATCCCAAATGGTCCCCCGAGCACTGCCAGGAATAATTCCTGAATGCAGAGCCAGGAGTAACCCCTGTGCATTGCCAGCTGTGACCCAAAAAGTAAAAAATAATAAATAAATAAATGATTAGAAAAAAAAGAAAGCGGGTGCCAGGCAAGATGGTCATGAGCTACTGCTCCCGAAGAGGCGGCCAGAAGACTGGCCCTTCTCAATGCACAATGCACCCACATGATGGCCCCACCAGGCGGGACAGGCCTCTCGCCCCAAGGGCTGGAGCCTCATTGCTGTGGTCCTTGGGTACAGCAGGGACTGGACATCAGACGACTTGCTTGTTCCGAGTGTACCTGGGACATTTGCATGCTGTCTGCTGGAGGTAGGCTGGCTCCCTGCCTGTTTCCTGTGGCTTTCTCTAGCTTCCCTTCCTCCCCGGTCCCAGGGGCTCTTGCAGACAGCGGCAGTGGCCACCTTCTCTCCCCTCCCCACGCCTTTACTGCTTAAGGAATAAAGGTCCACTGTCCTGTCCTGTGGCTCCCCGGTTCCCAGCCCTACACCCCTGTCTGTCATCTAGTTGGGTTAGGGTCTCAGATACTGTTCCACCTGGGCCCCTCAGGGTGATGCTGGGAGAAGCACCTCCTTTGGAGACTCTCTGATCTTTCTGGGTCTTCTTCCCGGGGTGTGACTGGTACTGGAGTAGCAGGACCTGAAATTGAAGGGGAACTTGGGCCTCTCTCCAGAATGGTCTGGGTCCTCACATACAGTCCACCCCATCTTTCCGGTACACTGTTATCCCTTCCCATCCTAATCCATGCATCGTCTTATCCATTAATCCATCCATCTATCCCTCCATCCATTATCCACCTAAACTTCCATGCATCCTTCATGCATTCACCTATCCACCCCAACCCACCATCCATCAACCACCCAATTGTCCGTGCACGCATTCATGTACCCATCCATCCCCCTATCCACCCATCATTATCTACCCATCCTCCACACACCCATCCATCAGTCCATCCATCCATGCACTTACCCATGCACTTACCTATCCACCCATCATCCATACATCAATCCATCCACCCAGACATCCATGCATGCATCCAGCCCTCAACCCATCCATGCGTCCCTCCACCCCATACCCATTCACCCACTTATTTGTGCACACATGCATCCATATATCCAAGAACCCATCTGTCCATCCATCTGTCATCCATCTAGCCATTCATGTATACATCCACGCTCCCACTATCCCTCCATCATCCACCCACCCATATATCCATCCATGAATCCATCCATGCACCTCTCCGTTATCTCTCCATGCATCATCCATCGTCTCTCCATCCATCTACCCAACCTTACCGCTCTCCCTCCCAACATCCATCCACCAACCAGCCAACCCTCCCAACATCCCACATACGTTTATCCTTCTAATACCAACCATTCAAGTATTTAGAGGGAATAGATTCTGTGCACACTCACTCTGCATTATAGGACATCATGAGATTAAGGCTGGAAACAGAAGGTGGGGGAGGGGCACCAGGGGATCAAGGAGGCAGGGTGGGAGAAAGCAACCGCTGGTGCCCAAGAGCTTAGGCTGCCAGCTGTGACTGGTGGCTATGGAAAAGTCCAATACTGTACCCCCAGCACTTCACCCACCACACTGTCCCCACAACACTGCATCTACAAGGCTGTAGCCACTCACTCGGAGAACATGGGCCAGGCCTCATCCAGGTCAGCTCGCTGCAGGTCCAAATCAAAGGTCACCTCGTTGAGAGCATAGAGCGAGTCCAGGAGGTCTTCTTGGAGTGAAGAGCACAGCAGAGGGCTCCGGGGGCCATACCATTCCCTGCATCAACAGGGACGAGCACTCTGAGCGCCTTCCCTCTCCAATGGGCCTCCAGAGTCCTAACCTCCCCTCTGCCTTTCTGCCATGTCCTTTCCTTCCTGGCTTTGGGATCTTGAGTGCCCCCTGGAGGTGGCAGCAACCAGTGCCGACCCCCAGCCCCACCTGGTGAGCTCCGGGTCCAGCAGGCAGAGCTGCAGGGACTCAGCCAGCTGTCCGTGGACCAAGCAGAAGCGGATGAAGGCACGGCCCCTCCCCAGCGGGGTCTGCAGCTGCAGAGGGCACGGGTGTGGGGTGTCAGGAGCCGGGAGATACAGGTGAGACTCTGCAGAGACCACCCTCCTCCTCCCCCGGCGCCCCTCATACCTTGTCCTGCGAGTGGACGAAGTGGCTGGACTCGGTGTCTCCCCGCTGCTGCCACAGTGCGGTGCAGAGGAAACCCCAGTAACCCTTCCGGGCCCGCAGGAAGCGCTTCTGCTCTTTCTGCTCAAACTGGGAGCAAGAGGCAAAGGCAGCTCTCCCCGGCTGACCAGCTGGGAAGGGACTTGTGCGTGCCTGGCTGTGTGGCCAGGAGCGGGTGGCTGGATTCTCTGAGCAGTCAGAGTCTCCTTCATTTCCCCCCGCAAGCCCCCACTGGGTTCCTGTTCTAAGACCTGGGGCTCTGGCAGTGACCACACCAAGCTCATGGGATTTTGCTAGAGGAGAGACACAGAAACAGTGAACAAAACACAGCACTAACTTTCCCCATCACACTGAAAACAAAGGAGAAGAGGGCAGGCAAGGGAAAGGGTGTGTGCGCAAGTGTGTGTGTGTGTGTGTGTGTGGTGGGGGGGAACGTGTTTCTTAGAAATTGTGATTCGGGGGCCAGAGAGATGACTGAGTGGGCGGGAGCACCTGCATTGCACGCAGGAGGTCCGGGTCGATCTCTGGAGCTTTGGGGTCCCCTGAGCACTGCCAAGAGGGATTCCTAAGCACTGAACTGAGAGTAGTCCCTAGCTATAGAAAAAGAAATGGCAAAAGAAATGGAGATGCAGGGTGCCAGGGAAATACTGATATGGCGGAATTACGTCAGCCCAGGGCTACAGCAAAGGAGCAAGGAGCATCCTGACTTCTGGTTCTGGAGCGCAGCAGGCAGAGGTCACAGGAGGTGCAAAGGCCGGGGAGCACAGCCTGGTCCTGGGTACTGGGTTTGAATTCAGAAAGCTGGCAGGAGAGGCGGCAGATGAGGGGCAGGCTTGCAGAGACCCTCTCTCTCTCTCTCTCTCTCTCTCTCCCTCCCTCCCTCAACACACACACACACACACACACCACCTCACACACACAAATACACCGACACAACACGCATGCACACATACACACATACAAACTCATAGACTCAGATGGACCCCCCCACCAACCTTATACATACACACCCAACACTGCAAACACACACACACAACCTTATACACATACACCGAACGCTGCACATACACACAGTCTCATACACACACATTAGCCTTTCACACACCACCTCACACACATACACACTAATACCACACACAACAACCTCACACAGACAACCATCCTGACCACACATATGACATCACACAAAGAAGCACAGCACACACACAGACACACACATACATACACCCGCCACACACACACACTGACCGTGCACACACAACTCCTCACATGAGCGCCCTTTTAATGCACATGTACCCCCAATCAAAAAAGCGGGAAGGGAATGTGTGGCTTGGGAAGGGGGGCGGCAGCTCATCTAGCACTCCGAGGACATGTGAAGTGTTAGTGGGGGCGGCAGGTGGCACCATCACCCCAGTTGCTGCTCTGGGCAACCCCACCCATGCAGTCTCACTTCAGCCTGTCCCATAGCTCTTCTCTGTTCCCTGGGTCCTTGGGGAGGGATGGGGACCCCTGACTCCCTAGCCCTCAGGGAGGGGTGGGGGCTCCTGACTCCCTGGACCCTCGGGGTGGAACAGGGGGGGCCTCAGGGAGGGATGGAGGCCTTCCGACTCCCTGGGCCCATGCGGAGGGGGACCCTACCTGTAGCAGCTGCTCCAGACAGCCACAAAGTCTGTGCAACTCCGCGCTGGCGTCTGTCACGGGCCGCTGCCCACTCCCATAGCCCTGTAGGATGGCTGTGACCGCGTCTGTGGGAGGGCAGAGGACACCGACATCAGACCCCATGCTCCTCCTGGAGCTCAGTGCCCTGGAAGTCTCCGTGGACACACTGACCTTTCAGGTCCCTGGTCATCTGGACAGAGACCCCCGCCTCTGCCATGAGGATGATGGATTGATTCCTTGTGTGTCTGGAAGGTCGGCCTTGGCAAGAGCCCCTGGGCCCAACGATGCAGTCGGCTCCTTAAATGCAGGCATGATCAGGGCTCAGAGAGGGTCTGCTTTGTTCCCGGGCTCACATAGCAAGATCTCGGGAGAGGTGGCAGCCTCAGCCCTTCTTGGGGGGCCAGTGCCGGAAGATGATGGATGGCTGCCACTTTTGGAGCCCTACTCTGGGTCCGAGTGTCAGTCCTCAGCCCCCCACCCCACTTGGCTGGATTCCTGCAGTGCAGCACCCCACTTCCCCACGGGAGCTCTGCCAGGCCAGTCCTGAGCCCAGATGCGCACATTCCTCCTTTCCTGGGTGTGTGGGGAAAACTGTGTCATTCGAGGACGGGGCAGGCAAGACCCACGGCACTCGCCCCCTCCCCCCGACCCCGCAGGCAATGGCTGGGCACTGCCAGACATGTGGCGAGGAGGGGTGCCTATCTCTTCTGCAAAACCCTTTTCCCACACCCCACGGATGTTCTGAAGTTCTGAGGGGCAGCCTGGGACCCCAAGGGCCACTGAGTTACTTCTGAGACATGGGTGTCAAGATGGGGCCTGGGGGCTGGAGCGATAGAATAGTGGGTAGGAGGGGCTGGAGCGATAGCACAGCGCGTAGGGTGTTTGCCTTGCATGCAGCCGACCTAGGTTCGATCCCCAGCATCCCATATGGTTCCCCCGAGCACCGCCAGGAGTAATTCCTGAGTGCATGAACCAGGAGTAACTCCTGTGCATTGCTGGGTGTGACCCAAAAAGAAAAAGAAAAAAAGAATAGCAGGTAGGGCGTTTGCCTTGCACACAACCAACCTGGGTTTGATTCCCAGCATCCCATATGGTCCCCAGAGCACCACCAGGAGTAATTCCTGAGTGCAGAGCCAGGTGTAACCCCTGAGCACTGCTGAGTATGACCCAAAACAAACAAACAAACAAACAGAAAAATAGATGGGGCCTGGGTGGCTGGAAGCTGGGAGTAGGTGCCAGGGAAAAATCAGGGGGTGGGGGGTCCCGTGGCGGGAGAAAGGGAGAAGGAAATAATGAAGGTCAAAGGTATGTGTAAGGAGGTGGGGTGGGGTGGAGTTTAGGGGTCCCTAAGCTGGACGGCAAGGATCCTGGGACCTGGGTCTCTACCCTGACTCCCCACCCCCTATGAGCTTGGCAGTACCATGTCATTTACCGTTGGGGGGGGGGGCTCAGCTCCCCGCCCCCTGTATTAACGGAGGGGGTGGACCGAGGCTCTAGGCAGCACTGAGCCCAGCCTGTGAAGAAGTCCACACCCTCGCCTCCCAGATGGACTTCCTCCTCTTCCTCACCCCTGTCCCTCTTTTGTGTTTCTTTCTCCAGTCACCCCAGATCCCCTCCACCCCAGTTCCAGAAGTCTCTCTGCTACTCACTCAGACACGCAGTCCTGGTTGAGACCTGGCCAGCAGGTGGACAGCCGACCCCGGTTGAGCTGGGGGGTACTGTGACTTTGACCCCTGTGCAGCCCTGGGCTCAAGGCTGTCCAGCGCGCTGAAAGCGGAACTCCGGGGCGGGGTGGAGCGGGGTGGAGCGGGCGGGGGCGTGGTAGAGGCAGGGCGGAGGGCGCCGGCCCGGAGGCCCAGACCCAGCCCGCTGCACTCGGGGAGCCGGGATGGAACTTGGTAGGACCAGGATTCCCGCCCGCCTTCCTTGCCGGCCAGCGTCTGCGATTTCCTCCCGACGGTCACTAGGTGGCAGAGGAGGCCCGGACAGCGCACCTTGCAGTCGGGGACCCAGCGCGGCAGGGATGTGGGGGCCTGGGGGTCTCTTCACCTGTTGTCTCCCCACTCTACCCCTGCGCCTTCCAAGGGGTCCCCACGAGCGCCTCCCCCGTCCTGGTCCCCACCTGCTGCAAGGATGGATAAGAATCCAGGGCTCGGGGTTCGGGAAGAGAGCACAGCGGGGAGAGCGCGCGGACCGGGGTCCCATCCCGGGCATCCCATCTCGGGCATCCCACCTGGTCCCTGAGCCCTGCCCGGAGCGTGATTCCTGCGTGTAGAGCCGGGAGTAACCCCCAGCACCGTCCCTCCGGGGTGCCTCTAAACCCCGGGCTGAGATGCGGTGCCGGGGTGCCTCTCTCTGGGGTGGGCGGAGCTCTGCCTCCTTGAGATTGGAGTCCCCCCACCCACACCAGGCCCCCCTAGATATTTTTCCCAGGCGGGACTGCCTTAGGTGCGTGGGTGGGTGGGGGAGAGTGTGCGTGGCTGGCACGGGGACCCGGGGGCTTCCGGAAGGACCTGCACGCTCGCCTGCGCTCCGGCCCCCTCCCCGCCCGCGATCCCCCCTCTGCTTCCTGCCCGTCCCGGCGCGCCGTCGGGGCCCGCCCCTCCCCTCGCCCCCGCGCCCCCGTCCCCTGCGCCGCTAGCCGCGCCCGGCGCCCGGGTCGCCGGCTCCTCCCGGCGGCAGGCTGGGGGGCGGGCGGGCTCTCGGGGCGCCCTGTCCCCAGTCCCGCCCGCCCGATGGGCTGCACCGTGAGCCTGGTGTGCTGCGAGACCCTCGAGCCCCCCGGGAGCTCCCCGGCCCTCGCGCCCGCGCTTCCCGAGCGCCGGGAGCCCCCGGGTCCCGCCCGAGTCCGCAGGCTGCGGCTGCGGCCGCGACTTCAGGTAGGGGGGCGCGGCCGGATCTGCTGGCTGGGCTGGGGCTCGGGGTCGCGGGAGGACAGGGGGTGGGACCCGCGGAACGTGAGGTTTGGGGGCTCCCCGAGTGGGGCCGCGGGTTAGGCTCTGAGCTCAGGAGAGAGGGGGGTTGGCCCCAGGACGGTGCGGTTACCGGAGCCTCACCCCTGGCTGGGGCAACCTCCCAGGGGCAGTCTGAGTGTGTGAGTGTGTGTGTGGGGACAGGTGTGGCATGTAGGTGGTGTGCACAGTGTGTACGGTGTGTATATGTTTGTGTGTGTAGTGTGGGGTGTGTGTATGTGTGTTGTGTGTACGTGTGGTGTGTACAGTGTGTTGTGTGTAGTGTGTGGTGCATTTGTGGGGCGTGTAGTGTAGGATAAGGGCAGTGACCCGGTCACCCCAGCAGGATGGACCTGGGGTGTGTGTAATGTGTGTGGTGTATTGTGGGCTGTGTGGGGTGTGTGTAGTGTGTGTCATATGGTGTGTGTTTGATGTGCGTTGTGTGTGGTATGTATGGTGTGTAGCATGTGGGGCGTGTAGAGTGTATAGGGTGTGTGGTGTAGTGTGTAGTGTGTGGTGTGGTGTGTGTAGTGTGTGCAGCGTATGTGTGATGTATGTTGTGTGTGGTATTGTGGTGTGTAGGATGTATGTGAAGGGTGTGGTGTATATAGTGTGTGGTGTGTGTGGATTGTGAAGTGTATTGTGTGTGTTGTGTATCCTGTGTGGGGTATATGGGGTGTATGGAGTATGTAGGGTGCACGTGAGTGAGGTGTGTATAGTGTGTGGAATGTGGAGTGTGACGTTGTGCACACCTGTTTACGTGCACACACACACACACACAGACTCCTGTGCGGGTCATTTGAGTGTGTGGCCGTGGGACGGTGAGCTGGGGCCTCACCAGGATAAGGGCAGTGACCCGGTCACCCCAGCAGGATGGACCTGGGGCTGGATAGACTGGGGCTGGACTCTCCCCCCGCCCCACCCCTCGTGTGGTTTTGGCAGGGCCTGAGCCCAGGCAGGGGAGCCCTGGGGAGTACAGGGGGTGTGGGGTGTCAGCAACTCCTGACCCCGAGCAGGAGTCTCAGAGCAAAGGTGCCATCAACTCCCTCTGCTCCACTGAGACCCCCGGAGCCCCTGAGCCCCTCTGCCGGCAGGGCTGGGGCGGTCAGACCCCCTCCTCCCTCCCATCTCCCCATCTCCCTCAACTCGGGGCCAGGTGGCCAGGCCAGGGCAGGGCAGGGCAGGGCAGGGCAGGGCCAGGCATGGGGCTGAGAGGAGGAGGCTGAGGGAGGGAGCAGCGGGTGTGTGACAGCCCCAGGGACAGGCGTGCGGGGACGAGTGTCTGTCTGCATTCGGATGAGCTGGTTTCTGAGCAGCCTGGCTCCCCTCCCTCCCTCCCTCCTTCCCTAGAGTTTATTTGCAGTCTGACCCCGTCTGAGAGCCCAGGCTCCCCGTGCTGACTCGGAGGGGGGCCACCGGGTTGCGTCACTGGCGGGTCTCTCCCCCTTGCCAGGCCCCCTTTCATGTGGCTTCTTTGCTGGGACCTTGGGGACAGCGCTGCCAGGCAGCCTGTTGGCCTGTCGCTCAGGAGCGTGTGTGTGTGTGTGTGTGTGTGTGTGTGTGTGTGTGTGTGTGTGTGTCTGATGTTCTTGCAGGCATAAACAGCTCCAGGGCTGGAAGCTCCATCAGGAATCAGGGCTTAGCAGCCACTCAGGCATCTCGGCTCCCGGCCAGGGCTCTCCCACTGCTGGTCCTGCCCCCGACTTGCCACCCTTCTCCTGCCACCGACCCGCCACCTTCCTGCCTCAGACCCTGCCACCCATTTCCACAGTCTCAGATCTCCTCCACCGGCCAAAAGCAGGGCTGCACCCACCAGCCCCACTCTCCTGTCTGCCCCTTGGGGCACCCCCAGGGCTAAATTCTCCTCTTTTTCCCTGCCTGCCTTCTCCCTGGGCAAGTCCTGAACGAGAAATCCTTCCCTCAAGCCGTACTGACCCCCCCACCACCCCGGGGCTGTTTGTCCCTGCACCCCCAGCCCCCCGTCCCTGCCCCCACTGTTCTTCCACCCTGAGACCAACGCCTCATCTTTGCTGCTCCCCCCACTCCGGACACACCCCAGCCTCGGACCCTCAGCTCTGAGTCCTCGGGGGCTGAGGGTGTGGGTTTGTACTCCCTGTGGCCCCTCCTGGGGTCCCAGGCAGCTCTCACTGCCAAGCCAGCGCGCCAACCTTGGGTGCAGGGAGGTGGGGCTTGGCACCCCTCTCCAACCTTCCCGCCAAGCCTTCCCTGACCTAGGCGCCAAGGGGCCTGGCGGGCATCTCCAGGT